AAAAAAAAATTACAATATTATTCAAAACAAACACAAAAAAACAAATGCACATTCACTCAAAAACAAGTTATACAAAATGACTGTCATACAAAATCTCGACCACTGGGATTTTCCTCTTCACAACAGAACCTTTCCCATCCAAGTCTACTGTGTACAGCACCTGCACACACATACAGACAAACACGCATACATAAATGTATGTATGTGTCTATGAATGTATGTCATAGTGTTATTATTCATTAACTTTTTTTATATTGTAGCCCAGTTCCAGGGGGCATTTGCTGTTTGTGAGTGTGCTTACGCACACCTCTTGTAACTCTTTATCTCCATCAAAAAACACTGTGAGTGTGCTGTGATCACCAGAAAGAGCTTGCAGATGGGACAACTCATTCCAGCCCTGAGATGGCCGCAAACGAAACACAGAATCTGTTCTTTCTTGACCCCACCACAGCTTCAGGGAGAAACACAAGAAAATAAAATTTGTCATTAAGAACTTGTGTTTTGCTTTTGTTTCTTGATATGAATAGATAGATTCTTGTTTCAAATTCATATAATAATATACACACCTCCTCCTGTTCAGTAACAAAGACAAATGTTCCATCATAAGAAAGAGTGAAATATTTTATGATCTGGTCACTAGGAAATCCGCTGTCATGCCAAAAACTCTGCCCATCCTCCCAACTGGACAAACACACACAAAAACATGTTAACATAATTATGTAAATGCATGTTTCAGTGTTAATGCACATGTGTGCACATACGTAAGAATATAAGAGAAGATGAGTGAGTTTCCCCAGATGTATAGAATTCCAGTGCTGGGGTTAAGTGTCATTCCATTGAATTTCAGGTTCAAAGAACTTCTCTCTTGGTGCCCTGTTACACACAAATAAATACAGTAAACACATTTTATTATTATGATAAAATACCTGTAAAACATACAGTCTAATTTGAACACACACACAAACACAAAACAAATTCACATCCCTGAATCTACACATGCACGCTAGGTCACAGACACATAAAAATGTGTATGTGCTTACGTTGCCTCTGACTATAAACGATGAACTCAGGTAAAATCTCACTCATCTGGAAATGACCATCTGTGAGGAAACAAAACAAATCAAATCAATTCCTGAATGTGACAGATTTGTGAACAGAGTTCTCAATAATAGGGTAAGATGGGGGAAGGTGCCTTCCTTAAAAACAACGTGCAATATCACAGAATCCATTAATAAAAATGGAGTTTACTGTATAATGTGGAATGTCACAGTGAGCAGTATGTAAGAACGCTCTCAATCTTGATGGGAAAGTAGTTCTACTAGTATGATGTCAGTTACATTTGTCAAATTGTGGATGAATAAATCTAAAGTAGGTCAGTACAGTTAAATCAAGTCGCAATATGGACTAGTGTCATTAACAAATCCCTCATTAACAAATAGACAAAAAACCTTTGAAATGCAACGTTACACTGTCATCAGCATCACAAAAATCAGATCAACTCTTCAAAACTTTTTCAACTGACTAAATCTTACAAATGTTGATGTTCAGAAGAAATGACAAAATTAAGAAGAGCGAAGCCATTCATCAAATGTGTCGAGATGAGATTTTGTGCCATTTATGATTGAAAGAAAAACTGAGGTGGAGGCGGTCATCTTGCCCCAGGGGACATCTTTCACTGTTACCAAACTATGCTTAAGTAAT